GTCTAAGGCTAGGGTTGAACCAACCTGTTCAAGCACTTCAGCTCCTTCAAAATACAGCTCAGCCAGTGACACAAATTGTTCCTCATCTGCTCTAAAGCATGGAAGCGTGTTGCTGGCTGAGTATGAGCATTCCTCTGGAAGTTTGTGGGGCAGGGCTTCATTCTCTTAGGGAGAGATTTTTCACACAGCCTAGCTGGGCTCAGCAATCCACGCTGTTGTCAGTGACTCCTGTGTTTCTGATGTCTGTGCTGTTCTGCAAGGTGAGAGCTGCCATGGGGGCTGTTTGGGAACCAAAAGGCTTGGGGTGAAGGCATTTCAAACAACGAGCAATGTAGCGTGCAGCGTTAGCAGCCCTGGTTTTGCTCCCTGGCAGATGCTGCGTTCCTACTGCAGACAGCATTTGTTCTGGCCCTGGCTTCAGTGAGCCAGAACTCTTCTCCACCCTTCCTTATTTTTTATAATTGCTATGGTTTTGCTCTGATAGACTTTGGCAAATGCCTGACTTAGCCTGCTTTGAAGCAGGGCTCATAATAAGGGCATGCATGTTTGTTTGAGAGAAAAAAATGTGTTATGAACTGTGTTACTGCTGCTTCCTTCCTCCTTTCTGTCCAAAAAACTCCAGTTAGGTTGAGCCCTGAGCATTTTCTGCCTGGTGGCTGTGTTGGCTGCTCTGTTTGATATTTGAGTAGGAGCTCTTTCCCCATAGTGCAGAATGCTAATGTGCTTTTCTCTGGGACAAAACTGACAATTATTTCCCCACAGGTTTGCTGAAAATTAAGAGCATCCCAAGGTCTGATGTGCCTGACACTGCAGGTATTCATGTTGAGGTTTCCATCTGCAGTCCTGTAGACTGGGAGATAGAAACTGAGATGCAGCATGCCTGGACCCTTACTTGTGGGTTAGTGGTCTTGCTCTCGTGTGTTTGGGAAGTTCTATCTGTTCACCAGCCCTCTTCAGCATCACTATGAAAGTTTGAATTTTGCAAACAACATCAAAAAGACAAAAATGAAAGTTAGTATAGAGGATTCTTAAACAGATCAAGTGTGCCAAGTGCTGAGCACAGTGAGATACCTTGGTGTTAGGAGCTAAATCCCCATGCACCTTGTCAGTAATGAAGTAAAGAAAATGCTATGAAAAGTTTCAGACCTTTCCTGGCTGTTGAGGCATGCTATGGGAAAGCAGCTTTGCAGATGTTGCTGTCTGCATGTTTCATCTGTGAGTACAGAGAAGTAGTTGATGCTGTTAGCACTGAATTTACTGCAGTGGCTGTTCATTGAATTGCTATAATTTCTGCTGGAAATAGTTGCCCAGGGCATGTGCATGCTCAGCTGAGAATATAGGAATGCTTTGGCAGAAGCAGCAGGGAGGATGGTCATTGCTGGGTACAGAAAAGAGGTGTCAGTACCTGATTTCAAGCCAGAACCCATGCACTGTGAGGCTAAAGAGGTTTGTTTTTCTGTAGCTTCTGTTTCCTGATAGAAAAGATCAATACAAGGATGAAGATCAGCAGCTGTTGCTGTGAAGGCAATTGGGAGTGGTACTGTTGCAATTTGGCCTTGAATACAGAATTAAGTGAAATATAATTTACTACATTTTCAGCCCACTTTTGTCAGCAAAAGTTTCTCATTTTGTATGACGAAGAGTAAAGCTGCATGAGAAATCCATGTCCAGTCATCTCTCTGTTTAAAGCCCTTTCTTGTCTCTATTTAGCTAGTAATGCTGCTGTGGACTCCAGATGTTTAGAAGCTGCAGACCATGGAAGACAAGCCTGTCTCTGCAACATGGGTCACTCCTTGCCTTTTGTTTAAGTCCCTTATAGGCGCTTTGCAGAAGGAAGCTGATGTCAATATCTGCATTCAGCAATGAGGGATGGATGGAAAGAGTATACCTGCAGAACCTGGAGGTGCCAAGAGATGTCAGCCCTTCCAGGCCCTGTTAAATTGACCTGTCCAGGAGGAACACAGAAATGACAGCTTGCCATAGCCATGCTGTGAACATAAGGTGTTTATATACCTAAGCCTTTGGTGGCACAAGCAGTGTCTACTCACTGTGTAGGAAACTTGAGAATTGAAGTCTCTTTCCAATTTCCCAGAACACGAGGCTTACAGACAACCTGTGTTATTGATTTGACCACCTTCTTGTATTTATTAATTAAGCAATGTGTTACTTAATTGCCAGAAGGACGGAAAGAAGCTGTGATTTGATTATGTGTGCCAGGACTCTCAGTGAGAATGAAGAATTTAAATCAGGGAAGCTGGGGGGTGAGGTTTTTATGCAGCTCTGTCAGCTTCTTGCTGAGCTTTCACAGAATCACAGAAACACCAAGGTTGGAAAAGACCTACAAGATCATCCAGTCCAACCATCCAACTACCACCAATAGTTCTCACCAAACCATATCCCTCAACACAAAATCCAGACATTCTTTGAACTCCTCCAAGGTTGGTGACCCATTCCAGTGCCTGACCACTCTTTTAGGGAAGTAGTATTTTCTGACGTCCAGCCTGAATCTCCCCTGACGCAGCTTGAAGCCATTCCCTGTAGTCCTATCACCAGTTACACGAGAGAAGAGGCCGACCCCCAGCTCACTACATCTTCCCTTCAGGTAGTTATAGAGAGCAATAAGGTCTCCCCTGAGCCTCCTCTTCTCCAGACTGAACAATCCCAGCTCCTTCAGCCGCTCCTCATTCCTCCTTCCTGCTCTGCATTGGAATGGCAGCCTGAGAGGCACAACAGAAGCCTGCAGCTCCTGCATGGTTCATTTCACCAAGTGGCAGACACTGGCACTTCTCTTTCTAAACTTCTGGAGGTTTGTGGTAATACTGACTCTTGCTGTGCACTGGTTCCTAACAGAGTGCAGATGTTCCTTGTCAGCTCTGGCCATCTTTCCAGGCTATAAATACTGCCTTTAGTAAAGAGTGGTGGTGAAACAGGCTGTGATTTATGAATGAGGTTGCACGAGTTGGCCTGGCTTTTGAAGTAGCTTTTGTGTGTGGAAGGCACTGTGGATGTGTTAGCTCGCCTGTTTATCCTTTGCTCTTGTTCAGTGGTAAGAGATGGGTGTTCGAAACCTGTTGTAGCAGGTGTGAACGGATAAGGTGTTGCTTTGGCCACATGTCAGAGGAGTTGGGAATTTGCTTTCTTCACAAGATTGGAGTAGACCAAATTTAGCAAATTTGTAAGGAAATTTCAGATGTTGGCCAACCTTTTGTTGAAGAGGGCTAAAGAGATATTCCCCAAATCAACAGTGTGAGGATATTCTTTTTTATTTGCTTTCTGGGGTGGTTTGTGGGCAGTGTTCTGAAAGCTGTGTTTTCGTCATAAATCCCATGATAGACCACTGAGAATGAAGCCCTTATATTTATGCTTATGAAACACCTTATTATGTACACTTAAATAAATGCATATTTGTAAGAAGAGGATGTCTGTTTTCCCCAAATACTCAGTTAAAATTGCCCACCCGCAAAAAAGGGGGGGGGGCCGGAAAAAACAGAAGTTGTACTGAAGGTATGTTTGATTCTTCCATTTGATGTTACTGTGTAGGTAACGCTTCTTCCTCTAGTAGCACTGCATACCTCCCTCAATTAAACCGTATATGAAAAGAGAGCTAGGGCACAAGTGATGGTATGTGTTGAAGGTGATGTGCAAAATAGCAAATATTTTTGTTCTTAGTTCACACTGCATGAAAATCTCATCACTGGAGGGCTAATAAAGAACCTTCCAGTAAACTGGTAGGTAATTGCTGCTGGAGTGATCAGCTGTGCTGACTGTGGCTTGTCAAGCCTGAAAATTGCAGTGGCATATGAAACTCTGGCATGTCAAAGTGTTGTGTTTAAAATCATCTTTAACTCATTCCACTCATATCTGCCCTGCGCATGGCCTCTGCTGATCACGCATTAGCTCCCTGTAAACTAAGACTTAGTGGAAAGAATTTCTGTATAGTACTTTTTTTAAAAAATAGAAATGCTGTCACACACACAGAACTGAGATTGTGCATAAATTTTCACACAAGTATCTGGGAAAAGCTTTTGCAGACTTTAAAAAAAAGGTTTTTCCATGTGCTGGGAGATGTATGTGGGGTGCGCTTTCTTATGTGGAAGGTTTTTGCCTCTTTGAGGGGACAAGCAATACACAGCTTAGCCAGAACTTTCCTCCGGCAGCAGAAGTAGGAGGAATCTATAAATGTGTGATTTATATAAGGTGCCCTGGGACTGCTGAACATGCTGAATTTCCTGACTCTGAGCAACTGATGAGGGAAATGTACTACTGCCATGAGGGAACAGGAGGAAAGTGAGCAGCTCTCTGGGCTGGCCCGGTGGTTTATGTCTCTCTCCAGTTCTCCACACCAAGCTCCTTGCTGCAAGTCCTGCTGCTATCACTGGTGGGATGCCTTCCGTGTGTGGGCTGCATGGATGCTGCTAAGGCTTCTGGGGAGGTTATCTGGGGAGTAGCATTGTTTCCAGGACAACTGGGGAAGAATGAGGAAGGGACTTCTGCTGATTCAGCGTAGAGCTGCTGAACACCCTAGCTGGTTGGCTGCATTTTCCTGTGAAAAGTAGCTAATGGCTCGCTTATACAGAGGCCTCTGTTCTCAAACGCATTGGGTACCTGCTGCTTGCAGATGATTGGATTAAAAAATACTAGTTCAAGAAGTAAGTGAGAAGCCATTATTGTCGGTGCGGTTGTGGGTTGACTGTAGCAAATAGCCTTTCTGTTCAGTGAGCAGGTTTTGGACACGGCATATTCAAAAGGTGAGTCTGAAGCACAGTGTACTTCTAGGGTGGAAAACCTGTATTCGGGTCTCCATGTTTAACTGTTATACTCTAATGGCGATTAAATAAATGTCCCTGTTCTACACAACTCCTTCAATTAATTGGTACTTGCTCTATCACGTAATACCACTTTTGTACTATTAATTACCTTCTATTCTAAGAGGAATTAAATCCTTCTCAAAGCTGTGTGTTGTCACCTTTTTTTCTTCCCACATTTTTTGTATCTGATAGCGCTGCTGGACTACAGAATATGGTGTTAGACTCCAGTGCTGCCATGGGGAGCAATAAACTTCAGGAGAAGGATGCTGTTGGAGCCCTTGGCCATGATCTCAGCAATGGCAACAGCAGCAATTTGGAAGCAGCCAGGCACCTGGCTAAACGCCTCTACCATCTGGACAAATTCAAGCGCTCTGATGTGGCAAAGCATTTGGGTAAAAAGTACGTGCTGATGTGAGGACATATGTCCTGTTGTTCATGTTACTGATATGGGGGAGTTCACTCTTGAATGACTAACTTTTCTTTTTTTCCTTCTTTGTTCAAAGCAATGAATTCAGCAAGCTTGTGGCTGAAGAATACCTTAAGTTTTTTGATTTCACAGGCATGACGCTGGACTTCTCACTCAGGTATATGCCTCTTTGCAAACCTGATGTTCTTGTTCTAATGACTGTGCTGTGTGCTCTGCTGTCCTGACTGAATAGTGGGAGTTTTAGATGGTAAAGAATGGAACTGACATATTCTGGGATGGAGCATTTCTCTCCTGTTTGGCTTGGCATGCCACCACTGTAGCACTGTTGGAGCAGTGGCATTTCCTGGAGAGGGCGATCTTTGGGTGGACCTGTGTAGATATGATCCTTGATCCTTTTCTCCTTGACAGGGAGAAAAATGACATATCAGTGAACAGGAGGACTGCCAGGTGCAGCTGAGGAACGAAGGTGTTGCTCATGCTGAGCTGCGTTGTGCTCACTGACTTTTTCACTGATGCCTTTTGGAGCTTGCTCTGCTTGGGTGCAGAGTGCAAAGCAGGGGCCAGGATTTCATGTGGCTCAGCAGCCCTCTTGCTGTGTCCCTCTGAGGCACCTAAAAATATGCAGAATGGCAAAAGCCTCTGTACTGAAAATGCCTATGAGTGTTTGATTGCTGCCAGAATGGGTGTTTGAAAACCCATCCTTCAAGTTTTGTTCCTTTTTACACCAGAGTTAGGCCTCAAATTAGGCCTCAGTTTGTTTTCAGGATTTTTTCTTAGGAGGCAGTGTACCAAATTTTTGTAGCAGTGGCCTATTGGCACAGTTGATGGATAGTTAAATGCTGACAGAAAAAGAAGAGGGATTTAAAGTGAGTTTCAATCATCTGACTTGGGTTACTCTAGAGGGTTATTATTTTTCACTAACTGTACAAACCCCAGAAGGCTGTGGGTTTTGTCAGTCCCTTTACAAATAATTTCCAGGAGGTCAGCTGCCAGCAACTGCATCTGAGCCGTGCCTCTGTCTGCAGGGCGAAAAACAGCACTCAAGTCCTGCACACTAATGGCAGTGGGAACACACCTGCAGAAGGGGTTAACAGAGTGCTACAGTTCTGCATGCTCCAAGGAGCTGAGCACCAGCCCCCTGCAGGGTGGAGGATGCTGGTTCCTTGTTCTGGGTGTTAGGTGCCCTGAGGCGTGATTCTAAATATACCCGTCTTTTAAATTGTGAAATCCAACACCTAATTATTTTGCAGCACATTTTTAGGCGGTCTCTTCTCCCTGTGGATCTCCGGTTAATATTAATAGTTGTGACCTTCTCTAAAATATGCTCTCTCTGGCATGATACTTAGATGCTCAAAGAACTTGAGCCAAACTGCAGAGGCTGTCAGGCACCGTTAGCGCATAGAACAGTCTGAAGTCAAAGGATCAGCGCGAACCCCAGTGGTATGCTACCCCACATATGCAGGAGTGAGAAGTAGCTGTGCCATTACTGCTGGCTTGCTGGTGAGCTGTGGTTTGTTAAAGCATGGTGATGTGTTGGCACACCACAGCCCATAGCTGCAGCCCTGACCCACATTACCCCTAGACTGTGTGAAGCTGTTGTACGGTTAGTAACACGGTTGACGGACAGTCCAGGATATAATGACAGTCATTCATTGCCCAGCTCTGCTTCCACATGCATGTCACCTTGTGTCACTCATGCATCTTTCTTGTTTATTTAACAAGTATTCCACCATTTGCCAATCCGAGGGGTCTTTCAGATGGGTAAATGTCCTGAAAGCAAGGAGAGGCTTGTAGGTCTCTGTTGACAAGCATGAGCCCGGGCTATTGCTGGAGAGAGCCCGAGCTGGAAGAGCTGGGACAGCTAGTTGTCAAAAAGTTCAATTAGGGCAAGAAATAGGGTTGGATGAGAAATCCTGTAGAGACTCAATTGTATGTACTTGTGAATTTAGTAATTTGCAATACACTGCATGTGAAATGAAGTTATTACCAGGCAGATCACACTCTGTATGGGTGTGAGATCACTGCAAGTATGGTCTGTCTCTGACCTTACATCAAAGAAAAGCAATTAATATTATTCTTCCAGGTCAGACAGACTTTCAGTGCTTCAACAGCATATTCCTCACTTCTCAGATCTGGTGTTTCAGTCCTATGAAATATTTAAAATTTGTCTGTTAGGCACTCATTTTGTGTGCCTTCTTGCTTTAGACCCAAAAAGTCTGTGCTTTCAGGCTCTTCTTAGAAGCATCTTAACAAATGAGTGTAGGCTGATAGCACTGAGGTCATCTCTTGGCTGCAGATGTGGGGATTTGGGCAAATGCAGTAGTTAAAAGAGATGGCTCTGGGGAGCCATCCACAATGAAGCCTTCCAGTAGTTGAAGGGAACGTATAAACAGGAGGGAGAATGACTGTTTATGAGAGTGGATAGTGATAGGACAGGGGGAATGGTTTTAAACTTGAGTCAGGGGAGGTTTAGGTTAGATATTAGGAGGAAGTTTTCACAGAGGGTAGTGACACACTGGAACAGGTTGCCCAAGGAGGTTGTGGATGCTCCATCCTTGGAGGCTTTCAAGACCCAGCTGGATGTGGCTGTGGGCAGCCTGGTCTGGTGGTTGGCGACCATGCCTGTGGCAGGGGGGTTGAAACTTGATGATCATTATGGTCCCTTTCAACCTAGGCCATTCTGTGATTGTATGATGCTTGATGAGATTTGGCTGCAAAAGGCTAGCTTTTCTAGCAGGAGCAATAGTGGAGTGGGAAGAGGCAGATGAAGAAGTCCCTTCTTTTTGCACAGGCTGTGCCCCTATATGCATCTGCCCTCTGCCCAGGACTCAAAAGCAGTAGCAGGGCAGGTTTTGCTCTTTGTGCTACTGATGCAGAACAGGAGAAATTTCTGTCCTCTTTCTCTCGTTTTCTGCAGGGCACATGGCCACACTGCCCTTCTGCAAGGTGACTGTTGGGTCATGGCTGCTGTGTTACATGTCCCACCAGAGGGAGGATTTCACGTTCTGTCCCAACTCCAAGTCCTTAGTGCATATGCCTCACTTCACTGCCTGGATTAGTTCCTCTGATTTTGATGGAAATAATGATGGCTGTAAAGTTAAAAGGTGCAGGCAAAAAGGGCAGAGAACATCCTGGATGTATGTTGTACATGACCTGTTCCAGTGTCTTACCTGAAGAAATGAAAAACACTGAAAACTAAGAAAAATTAGTTCAGTTATTAAATTTGCTTGTTAGCTGGTATATTCCATGGTTAAGACCAGTGGTAGATTAACTCCTAGTTCATGTACTGTGATGTTGGAATTAACTGTGCATGGGTTGATAGTCTGGTTTCCTTGACAGGCTTCTTGGAGCCAGCTGTTGGGCATGTGCTTATGTATTTCTTAAGCTCTGTAGCTATATATGCTTCCCCTGTCTGAGGGGGATAGAAGGATTTATGATTTTAATTTCTCCTTTCTATGCAATTCTTTTAGGAGTTTCTTTAAAGCCTTTTCCCTTATTGGAGAAACTCAGGAACGAGAGAGAGTTTTAGTCCACTTTTCCAGCAGATACTATCAGTGTAATCCAAACACCATTTCTTCTAAAGGTAACTTTGCTTTTTATAAGAAGATGTTTAGTCTCCTTCTATCCTCCCCTTGTTTGTATGGTTGCATGTAGGGTGATGTATAACTGTTGTGCCATGCTTTAGAAATTGCCTGTTGTTAGCATGGAAACCCTTCATATTGTCCACACGTAATCATGTGTAAAGATCTTTAGGCATCCTCAGTGTAAATTCTTAGTTGCAGCCTCTTCAGATTTAAGTGCCTGCAGTTCTGTTTTTCGGTCTCACTGACTCTGAGTGTGTGTGGGTGCCTGCACTCTAGCTACAGTAAATGAGAATGCCACCTTATCTGGAAGTGATGCAGTTCACTTTTCATACACCAATCCATGCTTGTTTCTTCTCACACACTGATGCTGCACATGCCCATTCTTGCCAGTTACGTAGGTGAATTTTGGATGCTGTAGACCCTGGCGAGTTTTCATCTTTACTAACATCAGTCAGAGTATTGCCTCCTTGCCAGTGTTTTCACTCATTTTGGAAACTGATGAGAAAAATAAACAAGCAAGCACACAGATCAAACTCGAAAAAGTTGGCATTCAAAAGGAGGGCACACTGTCAGCTGGCGTGGCTCCTGCGTTCAGTCAGCCACACCAGCAGTGGAATGTGACTGTAATTCCAGTGCTGGCTGATCACACACTGAGAAAGCTGAGAAAGGAAGGAGGGTGAAAAAGAAATACGCACAGGCTGAACTGTGCCTCTGGTTCTCTAGTGTAACTAAGGAGAAGCTGCTGCATTTGGAAGTGCTGTCTTGTTTACTTACCCCTTGTTTTGTGGTTAACCCTTGTTACAGTGAGATGGTTTTTGCCATTTGCCCTCATTATATCTTTTTAGCTTCGCTGGTTTGCCTGTCAGACAAGAGAATAGGTGTAAGTAAGGCATGATCTGCTCTTGTGCTATCTCTGTCCTCTTTCTTATGCCTTTCTTATTTTAAGTCAGGACAGGCAGTAAGTAAGAACAAGCATGTCATTTACAGATCAAAACAATGATTTGTGTTTTGATGTGGCTGCCTTACTCTAGTCCAAGTTGCAGAAAGTACATTTCCAGTTCAGAGCCTGAACAAGTGTCTGGAGTGAGTCCTGTAGACTTTGCATAGGGTTTTAATGTTGATGCTGAATTTCCACTGTCAGTAGTCAAGTGGTGCACTGCAGAAATGTGGTGTTTGTTTCTTTCAGTGGAAATCCAGGATTGCATTTGCTTTCCTCTTTTCTCCTTTTCCTTCTTAATCCTCTGGTTATATTTGCGATTTGGAATTGGGAATGCAAGCTGCTGTGGAGAAATGCACAGACCTGAACAGAGGCACCACAGATTCAAGCTGCTTCAGACTTACTATTGTTAGTGATGATAGTAGTACTTCTTTCACTCTGTGCTTTGCTAGAATTCTGTCACATTGGTTGGGTAGTAGGCCCTGTACGAGCATGATAAGAAAACATAGTAGTTGTCTTGAGCGTTGTCTTTTTGTAAAGGCCTTAGGCCTGTGATCACACAGTCTTACTGACTTTTAAGATATGTATATCCCCGTCCACCATTTCTCTTCTTTTACAACACGGGAATCTGTATGTGATTTGGCTACAAGAGATTTTAATTGCAGCTCACTACAGGGTGTCTTTGCTTTATAAGTGATCATTTTTCTCGCCTCTGTAAGAGAGGAGAAGATGACATCTGGTGTTTATAAACAAGAGAACAGATAAGTTATTTTTCGTAGTGTAATAGATGTTTGGAAACTGAATTTAAGCATTTGGAGATTTAATTTAAAAGAAATGCGTGGAAAATGGGGAACATGAGAGTGGTGTCTACTTTTGCAAATGTTGATCCTTACTGACATTCCAAGCTGTACGGCAGTGACTCTGGGAGTGCAGTCAGGAATAGTGTGTCTTTTCTGGTGCCTTGTGGAGGACCTGTGATCAGGAGGTCATGCAAGACCTCCTTAGACATTGCTAGAGTACTCACTATCCAGCACGAAGTCTAGGCAGTGAAAATAAATGGCTGAAGTTATTCAGAATTCTCCACTGAACTGAGGAGGGGTCCAGAAGGAGAGAAAAACAAATACAATTGTTACGTTCTATCATACTGTACGGAAAAATAGCTGTTTTCTGTCTTCACTTTCTGTCCTAAACAGATAAAATAAAAAGGAATTAATTCAAGCTATGGTACTGATGTCAGCATGGTTTCCTGTCTAGTTTGCTTCATTTGTGGGGGCTGCAAGATAGTTTTGACATTCATTAAAAGGTGAAAGAAAGGTTGCTCTGTTTTGGCAACTGTGGAATGACCTCACTGTTTATTTATTTGTATTTCTTGATAAACAGATTACCATTAAAAAAAAAAAAAACAGATTCAATTAGACTGTGAGGCTTGGTTTCATTCATCCTTAAGGGTACAGTCTTGAGTTTGCATGTGACTGGTTATGTCTCTCTGCAGATGGAATTCACTGTCTCACGTGTGCCCTGATGCTGCTAAACACTGATCTGCATGGCCACGTGAGTATGAACAGCTTCATATTGATTGTTCCTGACAACTCTGTGCCTGGAGGTAACAGTCTTCTGGCAACAGAATCCCCTTGCTGATGGGCTGATTCTAAAGTACTCTGAACATCTCTGTTGCAGACAGCAAAGAATGAGGTGGTTGTTCTCCCTGAAACTGCTGTAGCACCGGGCAGAGCTGTTCAGCATGCCCAGGAGTACACAGGTCTAGGCCTGGTGTTGCACCTGATTTTACCATTATGTGTGAAGAAGCTCCTTGTCATTGAGCTCCTTCTTTTCTTGTCTTATCCCCATCCTTTCCTGATGATGGCAGGTGGTTCTGACTGGGGAACTGTTGTTGGGATTGATTTCTCCTTTCCAGTATGTAAAAATACGTGGAAAGTGGAAGAAGAAAAAGAAGTGAAGAGAAACTGGGAAAGTCACAAGGGGAAGGTGTTGGTTGTAGGCCTTATGCTGCAGAGGGAAGATCTGGTAGAACCAGAGTTCTGCTCAGCCAGGGTAATTATGAGTGTGCCTGGAGGCAAGAAAGTGAGGAGGGGTGTGGATACCCTGAGCTGAAGCCCCGCATTCCCCCAGCAAATGCCTCTCCCCAGTGGCTGCCTGGGGGAAGTAATTTTCTAGCTGAAATTTTCTTAGTCACACTGGAGCAAGGTGCCAGCAGCCCTAGGACATGTCTTTCAGCACTCATGGTGCTGAAATAGGCTGCTATGCATAGTATTCCTGTGGTGGGAGGTGTTCTCTGTCCTTACACAGAAGGGATTTGGGTTGGGCAGAAGGTGACAGAGGCTTGTCCATGGGGACAGAGGTAACCTGGGCTACATGGTGGTGGGTCTGTCTGCAAGGATTGCTCAGCCCCTGTGGGGCAGAGCTCTGTAGTGGGTGCAGGTAACAAAGCCAAGGCTTCTGTATGCTTCTCCAGGGATTTTGATGCCCACTTCACATTGATTGAAGATCCCATTGATCTGAAAATAGTAGGAGCAGGAGAGGAAGGGGAGTTGTAAAGAATTTTGTCCCTGGAAGCTGGGCTTACCTTAGCTTAGAAGTGCGTGAGACAGTGAGTGGAATTTGGGGAGCATGCCTTGGTGTAATTCTCAACCTTCTCTGCTTCCCTTGATTACATTGCACTGCCTGCACAGGTATTCTGTTACACAGGGTAGCAAACAGCCTGGCACAACACAGAGGGAGGACTGAATATTGTGCCTGAGCTGGCAGTGTTGCCTATTGCTCTCTGTGATTCTTTAGTGGGCTTTTTTTAGATACTGGAGGGAGAGAGGTGCTCTGGCCCTTCCTTGCTGCTGTTGATTTGCAGCTGAAACTGGGATGGTTGAGTGATATACAGTGTAACGTTGGAGACTGTGTGGAGCTACATGTATGGAGCTCTGATGTTTGCCAGACTTCTGCGTATGTGTTGCTTCTCTCTGTCCCTCTGGGATTTCCTTTAATTTTGGTATTCTTCTTGCTGTTTTTCATTTTTCTGCATAGCTGGTAAGTTAGGCATTTCTGACTTGGAATGCAGCTCCTTGCACAAATATACTAATTGCCTGTTTCCTAACAAAGACATAATGCTTCAACCTGACCTGAGCATGATTCTACAAGAGCAGAAAACAAATGAGTTTGAGCTTGTCTACACTGAGCTTTTTTTGTTGCTGACAATACTAAAAGTAACTGCAAATACTTTTGTTTCATAGTGAGCTCGATTTCTTGTAAGGCCTCCAGTCTGTACCTCCCTTAACTCTTGTAGACAAACTCTTACTTTTTCCTTTATTTGCCCCTGCTTTACAACACTTCTTTCTCTTCATAAATACAGCATTTTTGCTAGCTATGTCTTGGAGATGCATGCTCGCTTTTCTGCAGGCAGGCCATTATCCAGACTGTAAGAACATGTTAGAGAGGTAACTGTGTTCAGGGTAGCTCTAGACTTTCACACACATGTTTTGGAACCTGCATGGCACTGTGTGGAGACATTAGCTATGGTCCTGAAGCAAAACAGCCATTCATTTGGAGTACTAATTATCTCAGTAAGTAAACTGGACCATACTGCAGTTGGGCTTGGACAGTGTGGAGAATTACAAACTGCTATGGAGGAAGCAAACAGAAACAGCCTGATATCTGTAACAGGGAAGAAAGAAGGTGTTTGCACGTTTATGAGAACAGCTCCAGCTTGTGCCCAAAAACTGCACTTATGAGCTGTATTCAGCAACCAGAGGGCCAGGGTTGTAGCCCTACTATGTTGTTAAGATCTTTAATGATGTGGGAAGCGCTGTGTGCCCCTCTGGAAGTAGGGGTATTCCTGCATGTCTGCTTTTTGCAGAACTATGTGGCCAAAGACTGTGGAATCTCCCTTTGCATTAGATAGGGTTGATAGTCAAGGTTTGGTGAATTCCCAGTTTTCTCTAGGCCTCTGTTATGGAATGGAAGTAGTTGAGCAGTCCAAGTAATCATGTAGCTGTAGCATTGAATAATCTATGTTACTGACTCATCCCTTTCTTGGCTTTTAACTTCTGTCTGCATAAAGCTCTTCCAGAGTAGGCTGTCAATATTTCACATTTTATTGGCAAGGCAGGGCAGAGGGCATAAAGTTGGAAGGCTGCTTCCTCAGGGGAATAGTAAGCAGTCTGTTTTGCATGCAGAAACAAGGCAGGTACCTTGTAATGCACTTACATTAGTCAGAGGGAGCAAGTGCAGCAACACTGCTTATTGGGACACAGTACTGCAGGTGGAGGTTTGCAGCTTGGTAGCCTGATAGAGGCTAACTCTCAGTTGACCTAGAAAATTATGGTTAGTTTTTATTCTGCAGCCAGAGCATACCCTGACCATGGAGTAGACTCACCACCTTGTCCTCTCTGGCATCTGTAGAAATACTGTGGTCATCGGAGAATCCTGATTTCCCATTGTTCCTGTCGTGTTTCTTCTTATGCTTTCTTTTTTATCAATTTGATATTACCATTTCTGTCTGCTCACAAGGCTTCCCACATGCAAGTTTGGGGTTTCTAGCACACGGGGCACTAGGGAGACCTAGCACAGGCACTTTCTCTGATGGCTGACTGAGACTGAGATTCAGGAGCAATTTAAGGCAGCCTCAAGCCTCCACGTGAGGTGATTTTGGACCAGCAGGCGCTTGCTGAAAGACTGTGGCTCAGCTGGATAATTTCAGACGATGAATGAAGTAGAAAAAGAAAAAAGTATTACCTGGAAATGTCAGAGAATCAGAACATTCTGAGCTGAAAGAGACCACGGATCATTGAGTCCACACCCGGCTCTGTACAGTGCTGCCCAGGATTCAAATCCTATGTCTGAGAAGTTGTCCAAACACTTACTTGATTTCTGGCAGCTGGGGCCTTGGCTACTGCCCTGGCAGCCTGTTGGTTGCCTACTGCCCTCTGGTGAAGAACCTTTCCTAACACACCCCTGATCCTCCACTGACAGCAGCTCCACCTCAAGTTAATCTCAGCGCTGTGACTCAGAAAGTGGGTGCTTCTGTGTATCTAACTGTTGCAAGGCAGTTGCTACTGGACGATTGGAAAGCTAAGAGAAAGGTCTGGAAAGAGCCTCAGTTTTTTGTTTCTTTGTGCCTTGCAACAGAATCAAGTAAATATTTTCTCTCAGAGACTGATAGAATCTTTGGAAACATGGGGTGGAAGGCACAATGCATGTAACAGTGAGCTTTAGCACCACCCTGTTCATTAGTCTACAGTACTTAGCTTTTTTCTATTCAGATGGGCCCAAATGCACTTTGCTGTTTCCAATTAAGTTCACAAAGAGATGCTTGCCTTTAAGTAATGTTGGGAATGACTTCTTAGTAACATCTGCCTTGGGCTTGATTTAAAGCTGGGAGATGTAATTTATCTGAGATGTTGCATGTTTATGTCATTTTAGGAAGTAGCATGGCTGTAGTGCTTTGTTTCTCTGTCATCTTTTCCAGAACATTGGGAAAAAGATGACCTGCCAAGAATTCATTGCTAACCTCCAGGGGATGAACGATGGTAAAGACTTCCAAAAAGAACTGTTGAAGGTAAGAAATGAACTGCAGAATGTGGGTCTCAGTATCAGTGAGACAGCTCACACCCTGCTTGTGTTTTCTGAATTGTAAAACAGACTGTATTTCTTCTCCTAAACTATATGCAGTATATACAATGTATATTCTATTGTTTTCCTTCTGCCTTTACTTGAAGGTGACTGAGACTACATGCAGCATGAACAGTCAAGACCTATCTTCAGTGGGGCTAGCTTCAGAGCCATATGTCTTAAAAGCTCAGGTGGCCATGCAGTCTCAGATTGCTGTCTCTTGATTGAATCAGAGAGAAGCAGCCAGTTGGTTCTGACTATTGAATACATAAGGACTAATCCTGAATTGTGTATCTGGAAGGCGAATGGTTTTTCATCAAAGGTGCTTTGGGGTTTTCACGTCAGAGCAGATGTAATTTCAGATTACAATGTGCTGTCTGGTACAGACTGCTTTGCTTCAGATTTTATTCATTAAGTTTATGCCAGTAGTTAAATCTGAAGAACTGGGAAAGAGGCTGAAAAGGGTGGATCTTGTTTCATTGTCGGTAATAATGAGAATGTTTCATTTCTCTTTTTGTGTGATTGTTGGCATGAAACAGCAGTCTGTTTGAATGAGGAGAGGAGTGCATACACCAGAGTTCATAATTTTTTTTTGTAATGGAAATAATAATGAGAGGTTGCTGCATCTGAGGTCTGACCCAAAGCCTATTGAGGTAAATCAAAAGAACTGCTGCCTCTTCTGTGGGCTTTGTAAGGCCTATTGTGAATTGCAGATGAACCTGCGTAACTGTAAGTGGCAGTCTTTGTTTTCTGGTAATTGGTAGTTTCTCCAGCTTTCTGGGGAGGACAAGACCAAGTGCCAGGTCCTGCACTTTGGCCACAACAACCCCAGGCAGCACTGCAGGCTTGGGGTAGAGTGGAAGACTGTGTGGAAAAAAAGAACCAGGGGGGCATTGGTCGGTACTTGACTGAACACGAGCCAGTAGTGTGCCCAGGTGGCCAAGAATGCCAATGGCTTCCTGCCTTGTATCAAAAGTAGTGCAGCCAGCAGGAGCATGGAGGTGATCATCCCCCTGTAATCATTACTAGGGGGGCTGAACCTCGAGTACTGTATTCAGTTTTGGGCTCCTCACTAAGAGACACACATTGAGGCCTTCATATGTGTTCAGAGAAGGACAACAAAGCTGTGAGGGGTCTGGAGCTCAAGTCTTATGAGGAGTGGCTGAGGGAGCTGCGATTGTTCAGTCTGGAGAAGAGGAGGCTATGGGGAGACTTTATTGCTCTCTCAACTGCCTGAAGGGAGGTTGTGGTGAGGTGGGGGTGGGCCTCTTTTCCTGCACGGCTGGCGATAGCACTAGAAGGGAATGGCCTCGTGTTGTGCCAGGGAAGGTTCAGGATGGATATCAGGAAAAATTTCTTCTCAGAAAGAGTCGTCAGGTGCTGAAATGGGCTGTCCAGGGAGATGGCTTAGTCACCATCCGTGGAAGTGTTCAAGAACTGTGTGGGTGTACACTGAGGGACAAGGTATAGAGGGGAAATATTGGTGGTAGGTGTATGGATATCTTGAAGGTCTTTTCCAACCTTGGCAATTTTGTGTTTCTGTGATTCATTGTAAGGAACTAGGAATGTAAACTCAAACCCCTTGTTATTATTTTTCACATCTTTATTTTTAAGATCTGAACGCAATGCTCATCTGTCAGTAGCATCGCTCGATTTTTTTTCATGGAAGTTCATTTCTTACCCTGTCATAGAGAGATGTGTTAAGATTAATTTTCAAGCTAATTGCAGCCCTTATTGAATAAAAAGGTCTCCAGGCTGTGTTTAAATAACCTTCAGAGTGTACTGAGGAGAGATTTCCACTGGTTCTTACCTGCTGTTTATTTTTCTGCTGACAGAAGTACACAGTTGAGGCTGAATCTTGGTGTTTATTATTGACCTTCAGACTAATGCTGAGACTGGCTGGCTCTTTGCCAGCCCACTGAGAGCAAGAGAATGGAACTCAAGATGTACTGGAGGCAGTAGGATGGAAGAAACCTGGTGCCAGCATCCTGCTTCATTTGAGATGTTCTGCCTTTCTCTGCATGCTGCCCTAATGCTTTCGGGACAGATGTGGCACCCAGCTGTGGTTTGTCATCTCACTTGTCTGAAGATATTCTAGATGTTCTGCCCCTTGTTCTATTAATGTACTGGTGAAGAGTAGCGGAGTGCATGGCAGTGAACATGCATTTCAGTTGCTACATTACTGTGTCCACAGCAGCTACCCTGACACAAGTTGTGTGATTACAAAGATTTAGCTGAAATTAAATTTGCATTAGCGTCAATAAATTAAATTCACAGAACCCTGCTTCAGCACAGTGCTGAAGCGCTTTTGGCTTGCTGGTGCGTTAGCAGGACGGCTAATGACAAGCAACTGAGGCTGCTGGCCGATTCCCTGCAGCTCTTCAAGGTTTCTGTGAGAGAAGGACCATTTCCACAGGGTGGCAGTGTGCCCCTGCGAGAGCGAGATACTGACACCCACGATGTGGTTGGGAAGTAATTGTGCTTTTCTGCCTCTGGTCCTCCTGCATTCCCCTCGTGGCTCTGAGATGAGCGTTTCATCACTGTACAAAGTCTGCAGCTTTGCATAGCCAAGCCCCAAAGCAAAGCTGAGCAGTGTTGGAATTGCAAGAACAGGGGAGAGGTTCTTAACAAGTGATTTACAAGTGGTATTCATCCAGGACTTGGAAGTGCACTGCAGCTTTTGTGGTGGGTCTGAAACACAAAGTCAGTCAGGGCTGCAAATCGTGCTTGAGATATCCAGAACACTCAGGGCTTGCAGGCGGAAGTCATGTCAGTTGCTACAATTTCCCTTAGTTCCACTGAGCACAAAGTGTAGCCTTGGGTGCTTGTTTTGTCAGAATGGGAAAAAAGGCTTTCAGTGGGCATGTATGAACATGTGAGGAAATTCAGTTCTTCTTTATACATGATCAGCCTCAGAAAACTTTGGATGTGAGATCTGATTGCACTTTTCTCCCTGCTATTCCCATGAAGGACCCTACCTTTGTTTTATTTTTTATTTTTTCCCAACAACAAGGCCACTGTGGTAAACATCATCAGGCATTGTTGTTCAGACCATAATTCTCAGTATCATTGACAGTGCTTTGGGAATGGGGATTTTCTTCTGGCTAGCAGGCAAATGAGAAATGCTAATATGGTTTCACTCACTGTGTGTTTTTTTGTCTGTTCATTAACAGTGAAAATGGTTTCACTTTTGTACACCCATCTGCACAATGGCTCATCTCTTTTTCCTTTTTTCTCACTCCTTCTGTTGGAGCTGAGGTTGCCTTTAGAGCTAGGACCCATAATGGCAAGTATGCCAAACCTCTGATTAACAGTGTGTTTCTCCCTGTGAGATCTGCTTGCAGTATTCATATATTCAGTGCTTTGCCAGGCAGACAGATAAATGCACCTTCCATTTTATTCCATTTTAGTTCTGGTTTGACCATCTGTCACACATCCCATTAATCTGCCATCAGCTGCTAGTAAAGGCCAGAAGTAGAGACAGTAGCCTGATTTTCATTACGTGCTGTCAGTGCATGTAGACCTGAGTGTTGTAGTTTATACTTACTGCAGAGTTCCTGTATACCTTCAAAGTGGAAGCAACTCCTTGTAAATAAGAAGCAGCATCCCAAGCTGTGATTCACTGAATCACAGGACTATCTTTGTGGGGCTGACCGGTGTTAAAGGTGAATCAAGCCTTTTAAATCCAGGCAGATTAAGGTTATTGAAATGAAATTTTTCAAAGTCAAGAAAACCTTTTGTAACTCCTGTTCTTTGGCTCTGAGCTCTCACACTCCAAGCATACAAATAATTTTATTTTGTATCAAGCTGGGTAAGGTGATCCTGAATTACTAGCAGTGTTTTCTTTTCAGCTTTGATCTGTAGCAAAGGTCACTGTGCTATTGTGAGTCTAAGTCTTGGAAGGAGGCTTGTGAGTACAAAGAATTGTGACTACCCTTGTTCTGGCTGGTGCTGCAGTACTCTGGTATGGGTGGGCTCAGTGCTTACCCCTAAGGTAGACTGTGAATGGCTTTCTTAGCAGCATTTACAGATGGAGACAAGTGACAGATTTTACTAAGACCAAGAAACGTGGAGAGACTCAGCCACAGCACTGATCTCTTCAGAGCAGGTGTACCTGAAACCCCAGGTTAGCTACTGCAAATGCCACTGTAGAAGGTGAAAAAGCAGGAGAGATTCTGCACCTCCATTAGTGAGAGTGAGCTGAACACATCAGAAATAGTTACAACAACAACTGCATCCAATTTGTGGGCTGTTAGCCAGAGGGAATCCATTACCAGATCATTGTTCGTTTATTCCTGCAGAAAGGCAGGCCATGGTTAGTATCCAGCAACTTTGAAGGGAAATGAAGTCACTCTAGGGGAATATCGGGAACCTCAGGAATCTCGTGCCTACGTTGCAAGATTAGCTTACTGCAGCCTAATTCCTCCTTGTGCTCACACCAGCTTTAACTTGATATAGTCATACCATCACCACTGATTGTACTGTTATGTAACTATTGTCTTCCTTCACTTTGTGAGAGTGGCTAATAAAGACAAAATAGTCTAATTTTGGCCATGCTTCATTTCCCACAGGCAGTGTGGCCCTACCTAATGCTGTGCTGGTAAAATGGTGGCCATTGTGTCTTCCTCTTTCTTCTTGTTCCATAAGGGAAGCAATAACAAAGAACTTTCTTATGTGAAGAAAAGTGACTCAATCCTACAGAGTGTGCCAAGAGCCATCTCTGAAGAAATGGATCCCTGCATTTGTTAGGCAGTACTTTGATTGTGTGATGCTTTCCATTGTAGGAAAAATACTTGATTGTTAGGCCATGTGCTGAGATCCCACCTGCCTGTGTTGTTCCGCATGTGTCCAAATTCCTTGGCATCTGTAGTGTCTAAGATAACTTGTTTGTGGAGAATCATGGGAGTTCATTGTGTCACAATTGCATGGGTTGTGCTGGAAGGAGCT